AAGACACAAATGCTGGGAGGAGCCTCCGACCTCCTCTCCAGGTTCCAGAACCCTGTGGAAACTTGGGGTGCATGCTGGTTGTGAAACAATCATTCTGAAAAAATCATCCCCGAGAGCAAAGGTCATGCTGTCATCACCTTTGGTCATCTAAAGCAGCAGGGGGACACACTGGGCTGAAGAAACGTTCCACTTGCAAACCTATGGTAAGGGAGGTTTTCTTATTGATCTACTGTCCCCAAGGCAACAGCGACACATGCCATGGTCACCTTGCACCATGTTTTGCTTTGAACTGAAGTACTAGGAAGAGAAATGAAATTCACTGGAAAACAATACATGTTGGCTTTGTGCAAGCTGGGTGTCAACAATGAGCAGGTGCCTGGCAGGTATGATGGTTTTAGTCCCCTAATAACCACACACTATGTTTTTCTTTCCCAAGGACCCTCGCCTACACATTCTGTGGGAGAAAACATAACTTATAAATAAGCCTTAATTATGTGTATTTCTTGGTTCTCCTCTTAAAGACCCTGGGGAGGGCCAAGAGAAGATGATTTCCCGCCTTTGAATGGGAAATCAAATGCCACCACCCAAAAACCAGAGGTGACTTCCCTGGAGGAACGTGGTACAGAGGAATGCATGATGGCTTCTCAGTGGCCTAGGTGAGCCCCCAGCATCCTGAGCTGTACCTTGGGGTTTCCTCCGCCTTCCTTGGCCGCATACAGCATCTGCAGGGCAGACTCTGCGAGCGTCTTGGTCTGGTCCAGCACCGTCATCTGCTGCTGATGGTCCAGAATCTTGGAGGCAACGCCCACTGCAGCTAAGATCAGGGGCTCGAAGTAGCTTGCCAGCTGTGTCACCTTTTGAGACCAAAAAAGCCACAGGTGTATCATGTAAACACATGTGTCCCCTTCAGGGTCCCTGCTGGGGGTGCTGGGACTGATGGGGAGAGGCAGGTCTGCTGGGCTTCACTTTGGTATTTTTCTACTTTACAACCAGTATCATGAATTACAGTCACCCTGTAATATACAGAGAGATCCTAGGACCTTATTCATTATTCAGAAGGCCTCAGAACCTCTAGAAAACATGTGGCCCTACCAATACCTTGACTTTGGACTTCTGGACTCCAGCACCGTGAGAGGTTGAATTTCTGTTGTTTTAAGCCCCCCAGTTTGTGGTAATTTGTTATGTGGGAAATCAATCCAGATGGGGTCTGAGAATTTGCCTTTATCACTCCCAGGTGGTGTTGAAGCTGCCGAACTGGGGCCCCACCTGAGCGCTGCCATGAAGCATCGTACCAGTCATCAGCCCACAACCCCTGTGGACGGAGGGCCCCTAGGCTGCCTTTGTCCAGAACGCCCTTTCAGAAGGGGAGGCTGGTTGAGCCAAAGGGCCGAGAGTAAATCTGTAACTCAGGTGACACAAATATATCACGTCTCTTTTCATGCCATCCACTGACATAGTGTAATAGGGAAGAACAAATCTGACTCCACATTGGATCTGTTTCTTTTACTTTAACCTTTGTATTCTGTTCCTTTTGCTACAAGTTAGCCACTGAAGGGATTTTGCCTATAAGCTTAAATTATACACACTGGCCCACCTCTGGGAACCCTGCCTCCCAGGTAATGAGCGTCAACTAAAATACCTTTGTTTAGCTCACAGGAAACATCCTGACCAGGCCCACCTGAGAATGACTGCAGGAAGGAAAAAATTAGCATATTTCCTCTGGAGACTGACTGGAACCAGGAAATGTGTGACTCTACCCCCTCCCCTTTTAGTGTAAAAGAGGCAGGAATTCTAACTCAAGCAAGATGGTTCTTTGGGACACTAGTCCGCCATCTTCTCGGTCTGCTGGCTTACCAAACAAGGTCACTATTCCTTGCCCCAACACTGGTCCCTCCATTTACTGGCTGTTGTGCAGTGAGCAGTATGCGCTTAGATTCAGTAACAACAGGAATTAATCTTCCATACTAACAACATACCTGCAGAGACAAGGATGCTGGCCTAGAAAGCTAGAAATATTGTCTTACGAATCCCTACTCGGATCAAAAGTAACTGCTGAAATGATGTCTAGCTCGTCTGCCAAACTCACTCTCTCTGCAGAAGTCACACATGCAGTGCACCAGCCTCCAGGGCAGTCCCCCGACCCTCAGAAACCTCTTCACACAGGTGGACAAGCCCTTTCTTATTATAAAGGAACTCAGCTGAGAAATGAAATTTTCCACACTTGAAAAGGCAGAGAGACACCGGCCATTTTCAATCTCAAACACCTCTCCTTAGAACCAGCAGGAAGCTTAGTAGGCCCTTAAGCTATTCTATAATTTGAAAAAGCAGGAACATTGATTTTCTAAACTCAATACCCGCAGAGAAGATTTTGGCTACTGGATTTCTTGATCTGCACATCGATATAGATGGCTGCACTGATGAAAGCTAGGAAACCCTGCAGGTTGTTAAAAACCCAATGTCTGCTCTCTCTCTGGTGAAGCACAGACTTCTTGACAAGCCAGCCATCCATGGATGATTTGCAAAATGAACCCCACACGTGCAAAAACATCACTCAGCACCTGCGACCACGTGGGTCAGAACTTTGAGTTCAGGAGCCGAGCAGAATGGCCACATGGGGGCGTTAGCTGTCGAGGGTGAGGTCTGCCAAGTCTGCTCTGCTTCCTCACGTGTGGAAACGGACACTGTGTTAGAAGCCGCGGAGGAAGAACGGACCCTAAATACACCAGAATGATGGTCCGCCAGCACATAAGATGGCAGACATCACGCCAGGAACGCCAGCCTCAGTCTCTGTCTTGTCCCAGCCAAGGTCAAGAGCAACAGGTCATTGGCTGCCAAGTCTGACCACACCCAGAAAAATCTCCCTGTACTTTGTGTCTCAGTGCTACGTGAAAATAGAGCCTGAAGTGGTCATTTCTGGAGAAGATGCTGACAGAGGTTGAGTGGCGTTTTCTCTAGTTGAAGCTACTGGTGACCCAGGCCAAACCCCTGCCATGAGGCTTTTGGGAACAAGAACCATAAAATCAATAACAACCTCCCCACACCTGCTCCTCACACACTCTCAGCAGGACCCCCCCGGGCGGGCGCACGTTACCTTATGTCCCAGCTGAGCTGCCTCTCCCCGAGCCGCCGTGGCAATGGGATCGATAAGGTGCCCGATCTCCTGGACCACTGAAGTCAGCTGCTCCTGCAGGGCCTGATAAGGAGAGACAGCTGTCAAAGTCACCCTACAACAGCAACCCCTGGAGCTGCACCGATCTAAACAGGCCCATGTGAAAGATAAGGGAGGCCACAAGAAATGGACATCAAAATGCCTGGACGTGTCATCAAGCCACTTCTACACCTCCGATCCCCTGGGCCAGACCCTCCCCCGCCCCCACCACAGTGCCACCCACAAGGGACATGAGTCAGGTACAAGGAACACTTTTCCTATTGGCTTCCCAGCAACCATCATGACAACTGATGCTACTGGCATCTTCACTTTGGGTTACTCAGCATAATTACTGGAAAGGTGGGACTGCCATGACCTTCCAAGAAGGGAAGACGACTTTGTACACATGGAGAGAGCTGATGGTAGGGTCTCAGGGAACATCCAGTCGCTGTGCCCTCAGAACTGAGAACCCCCCAGGAGCGGAGTGGGGAGGAGGGTGACGTAAAAGTGAGATCAGCTCTTTTAAAGCAGGACTATCTCCCAGACTGCACACCGTGAAGACGCCAGGTGAGATGCCCAGAAGCTCAGGTCGGGCGCTCAGTGCGCTGTATCTGGTGATGAGGACCCACTGTTGAAAAACGCATCCTCAAGGCATTTCTCCTCACGAGACAGTTTAATCTCTCCATCCTAAAGAACTGGACTCACGCTATAAAGAGACGGGGCGAGGTATCTAGATTATGCTGACATATGAAGGGGGCGGGGAATTCAAAGATGGGGAGTGTTAACGAGGAGCGGGACAGATCAGACCTCTCTGCGGGAATCTCCACAGGGGCCTC